CTGTTTTTATTTGTATTTGTATCTAAATGGTTGAGATGATCAAGGAAGAAGTGTGTTCCCATAACGTATTTTGTGGTGGTGGTCATTCAGTTAGTTGGGTAGAGCAAATAGAATAGCAAAAAACCTGTCATAATTTAATTAGGAAAAATTGATTTTGTAGTTCAGTGGTTAGCCTTAGATAGATATGAAGATCTTCTGGCCATATGCCAGCACATATATGTTCCATGTATGGATACTGGCATATATGCAGCTTGTATCCTCTTATGGGATGCCACTGCTGTGTGCAGGAATTTTATTCAGACTAAAAGTTCTGATCCTATTTAGTCCATACAGGTGTTTCTAAAAATAGTTTTAAATTATTTTGATTTTTTTTTATGCAAATGTGAAAATACCATGTACCTTTTCAGTGCTTTATGAGGTTCTGATAGACTGTATGCAGGTAGCTATCTGAAAATAGCCATCTGAATTAGCACAAAACCTATTACTTCAATGCTAGTCCCCATTTTTTGGCTTCTTTTTTCTGTCCTTGACTGTTTACTTGATGGTTATCTGCCTTCTGTGATTGAATTTCATCATCATTGGATTTCCATTCCATACGTTCCATTATCCCACTGCCCTTTTTGTCTTATACATGAATTCCTTGTAGAAGTGGACTACAGTTGTCTGACTTTCACAAGAGCAAGACCTCTCTGGAGGTGGTTATTACTTGTAGTAGCTGAGTATGATTGCATAGTGTCTCTGCACTGGCTGTGAGTAAGCAGGTTTCCATGCTGTTGATGTGTGTAGTTTCTGCATCGGAGGTTTCAGGGCAGGATGAGGATGTGGTGTGGTCTCTTACACCTCTGCCATGTGAAGAGTATTCCAGCAGAACAGGGTCTGGTGACTGCTTAGGGAATATGCTTTATCTCTTTCCTTGGCCCTTCATCCCCCTGTCATTTCCACATCTCTTTGAAAGTGGTTTTCTTAGTAAGGACTTTGTTTCTGTTCCTGCTTCTTTCCTATTTTCTCTCTTGCACAAGAAGAGAAGGGGAATGGGATTCTCCTGAACTCCAGAGTTCCTAGTTCCTTCACCTCTTTCTCAGGACTGATGTGCTGGAAAAATACAGTTGTTTAAGCCTCCACAGGCTGCCAGTGCTGCAGCTCTGTGCACTGGGAAGCACCCATCCATTGCTGTGGAAAAACTCCAGGTGCTTCCGCAAGGCTACAGGTATTAGAGGAGATGCTCCTGTTGGAAAGCTGCTGCTTTACTGAGCTGCTGCCTGCCTTCCTCCCCTGGGGCCAGTGTTGGTTAGCAAGCTTAAGGAGGAAGTTGGAAGAGAACTAGCTCCTGCTAATTGACTACATCCATTTGACACTGCAGGGATGCTGAAGTTCAGAATCTTGGCCACATATGTGTCCGTGACTTAGTGAGGAGCAGTAAATGTCTACTACAATTATTATTTTATTTTTTATTATTGGCAAATATTTTTACATTGCTTTGCTACTCTCAAACGGCTGTTTTCTACCAGCATTTCAGTTACTCAGCTTCTCTCAAGGAAACAGTGTTTTGGCTTTTTCACAACCTTACTAGAGGAAATCCCTCAGTGAAACTCACTGCTGGGTTAGTAACAGGATGAAGGCACCACTTCAAATTTCTGATGACTTTGCATAGTCTGACTAGGGAGAGAATGGTAGTCATTACCAATTACTTACAAAAGAAAAATGTTAAAAGTCTGTAGGATTTGCCATGTAAAAGGACTCCAGTTCTTGAAGTGATTGTGGCTTTGCATCACTGCTTGTAGATTTTTTTTATTTTATGATAACCTGTAGATATCTTTGCAAAACTGTTCGCTCCCTTTTGTGCCTTCCCTATCCTACCCTCTCCCTGCCCAATCCCTCCACCCCCAACCAAACAATCCCCCCACAAACA